TCTGCATTTGGGGTAAAATTGGGAGTTCATAACCCACTTCAATCTAATGTATGAAATATGATATGTCAAGAGCTTTGTAATGTTGTGAATAACCAATTAAAAAAAACCCTTCTCACAAAAGAAAAAAATAAAATAAAATCGGATGCACATAATTTTTCACATATATGTGGGTTTAGTTTTATACTTGTCTAATTAAACCTCCCCTTCCCCTTTTTATGCCACACTGGGTCTCACACATGCTAGGCAAAGACTCTAGCACTGTGCTACACCCCTAGCCCTTATTCATTTTTTTTTTTTTTACTTTGAGACAGTGTCTTTTTGAGTTACCCAGATTGGCCTCAAACTTGTGATTTTCCTGCCTCAGGCTTTCCAGCAGCTGGGATTACAGGTGTGTACCCCTACACCTAACTTCACATTTCTTTTAATTAAAAACTTCAAAAAGAAAAAAATGTGAATTTTCTTTGGCTAGTTTGCAAACACAAAATGAAGCACCAATGTGAATCATATATTAGGTGGCTAAAATGTTATGTCTAAGAATACACTCATGCTTTGACAAAACAATTAGGGGGGAAAAATCAGAAATTGCTTTTTGTGTAGACACAAAACCTAAGCTACTTACCTTTCTACTTGTTATTTATGGTTTCATTTCTTGTTAACATATTTGGTTCTATAAGTAATTTTAAATGTTTCCAAGTCAATAAATCAAAATATTTGTTATAGCTTTAATATTATTTAGTACTATTTTTACTAAAAATTGTAACTACATTATGTAACATAGGATTTATTAATATTTCAAATCAAGTCATGCATAAAAAGTTATTTGCTGTAGGTGTCTTCATGATGTGATTGTCAATAGAATTAAACACTTCAAGTTGTGTCTGTCACTCACCCACCTTTCTGGATACCTTCTTTTAGAATGCCAATTTGGACAGCACGGAGAAATCTGGGAGTGTAATGATACAATCTGATAAATTCTATATAAGGGATAACGAGAGTAACCGAGACACAGCAGAGAAACAGCTCTCGGACATGAGGCAGAAGGGTCAGCTATCCAGGGAACATGTCTGAACCTTGAAAAATAATTCCAGACTGAGGAAGAGCATTATTAACAAAGACAGAGCAGCAAATGTGAATTCTTTTAACTTCAAATGGTCAAGGGGACCTGAAGAGAGCGGGGATGGGCGAGGGTGACAGAGGATGAGGCAGGGGGGAAGACCAGATCCACGCCTGGGCTTGCCTCCTAGGGCACAGGTAAGAGCGATTGGTGGGGGTTGATCTGGAAAGATCCTTGTGGAGACAATCCTGAGAACCGACAGGAGGCATATGGGTGGCGACAAGAGGCGGGGAGGCTGGTTATCGGGCAGTAGGAAAAGTGAGATACTGAGTGGCAGAGAGTACAAGTCGGGGTCCGCGACTCGGGTAGTGTCTGGAGTAAGACCGGCAGGACCGCCCGGCTTCGCGCTCCGGGGCTGCAGGCGGAGGGCACGGCGCTCGGTTGCCTGGGCGACAGCGTCCGGGGGCGGAGTCCGGGTGCTGGCGTGGCCCCGCCCCACGGTCGCGGAGCACTTTCTCCCAGGAGTCCTCGGACAACTTGTCGAGCTTCCCAACGGTCCCTACCCGGCGCGTGCCCACAGGGCGGCAGCCAGAG